AGAAGTTCCTAATTTATCTGTCTCAGCTACTTCAATGGCAAACAAAGGAGGAACTTTGCTGCTTCCAGAGCAAACACAGGAGAATGCTTAAAGTTGGGATAAGCTAAATGTATTGAAATGAATATCATTTGGTTTCTTGTAATTTGTTTAGTCATTGGAGTTGAACTCTTTTTTATACAGATATCTTATCAATTTTGGACTTTGTACTCTTTTACTAATTTTTATGCTTTTAGTTTTTTTTTTGTGTGTGTGTTGGGGGGGGGGGGGTACTTGTTATATTATTAACATTAATCCAAAAGTATCCGTGAAATCTATGGAGAAGAGTAGGGGTGTGCATTCGAATCGGTTTATCGATAAATCGAATCGATTATTTATTATCGAAATCGAAATCGAAAAAATCGAAACCTTATTGAAACGATAACGATAAGCATATGTACAAATCGATAATCGATAAGTAATTATCGATAAGGTCAAAATCGAATCGATAAATCGAATGCACACCCCTAGACTGTAGACACTTGTTAAATGAGTAATTACCTATTTGTGTAGATTAATATAACTTACAGAATGTATATATATTCCGCTACTATTTTGAAAGCGGCTATACAATATTATTTTCCCTAATCTATACCCTTTCCTTTACCCTAAGTCCCTCACCCTATTATTTCCTCTACCACATTTAAGGAATGATCATATTTAAAGATCAAGGGAATGAAGTTCAAATTAATGGAAAACAGAATTAGCCGTGATGATGTGTTTTGTTTTATTTTATTTTTTTTATACCGTTGGAGTGTTGGTGGCATACATTTGATCCCTTACTTTAGTTTTGTTGCATGTGCTTGTTGACATAATTTTTATATTATAAATGGTGTTCATCTTATTTTAGCTTCTTTTTGTCCATATTAGTTAGGCGCGTTTATAGCGATATACTTTTCGTGGAATCCCGCAAATTTTCTTATTGGTGTAATCGATAACCGAATCGATAAGCCCCCAAAATCGATAAATCGAAATAGAAAAAATCGAAACCTTATTGAAACGATAACGATAAGCGTATGTACAAATCGATAATCGATAAGTAGTTATCGATAAGGGTCAAAATCGAATCGATAAATCGAATGCATACCTCTAGAGAAGAGAGAAGAAAGTATTTTCGTTGCTCATGTTAAAGAAAGTATCTCTAATATCCTAACCATTTAGGGCCCATGCTATTCTCACCTAAAATAAAGGTAAATTGACATGACAAGTACCAATTGCAATTTAAAAGAGATTAGCGGATAAAAATATTAAATAAAGTAATATGCTAACAAAAATTTATATTAACAATGTAATAATATTAAAAATTAAATAATACAATAAAGAAAAATACAGAACAAAATATTTTATTCGATAAATGTGATGATCCGACATGTCATCTAGAGTTTTAACCCTTAATTCTATATTTCAAATACTTAAATAGCTCCATTTATCCTTCCTCCATTTGCGTGCGCAGTCCGTGTCTTCTTCCAGAAGGTTTTTATGTAAAAAGTTGATTAAAATGTGAAATCGTGTCTTAAAACTCATTTGAGTTGGCTTCGGTCTACATTTTGAGCAAACGGATCTGGATACGTATTTTGACAGTCTCGGTGGGTCCGTATCATGATTTAGAACTTGGGCGTATGCCCGGAATCGAATCCGGAAGTCCCTAAATTGATTTATTGCAATTTGTTGAAAATTATAGGTTTAAAAAGCTTAAAGAATTCATAAATTTGATCGTAGTTTGACTTTATTGCCACTGGGTTCGGATTTCGGTTACGGAACCTAGTATAAGTCTATTTCAGTATTCATGACTTGTCTGTAAAATTTGGTGCAAAACGGAGTTCCGTTGACGTGATTCGTACGGCCGGTTGTTAAAATGAAAGTTCTTAAGTTTTATTGAAATTTTCATTTGTTTTGGTGTACGATTCATAGCTCTAGGTATTATTTTGGTGTTTTGATCGCGCGAGCAAGTTCGTATAATATTTTTGGACTTGTGTGCATATTTGGTTTGGATCCTCGAGGGTGAGTTTCGGATAGGCTACGGATTTTTTTTTTGAATTTAGAAATTTTGGTTTTCTTAACTTCTGCTGGTTTCTAGTACTTCCTAATTCGCGATCACAAAGTAAGTCCCGCAATGGCGAATGCTAGTTTGGACTGGGGATGATTTTACTCAGTGCGAACGTGAGGTTTTGGTCGTGAACGCGGAGCAGTGGGAGGACTGCCCTTTGCGAACGCGACCTAACCAACACGAACGCATAGAACTAGAGAGGCGGGGGCTGGGAGATAGATTTACTCTACGCAAACGCGAGCCCATGCTCGTGAACGCGGGGGTGAGTTGGGCTAAGCCTACTCGAACACGTAGAGCAATTCGTGATCACGTAAGCTAATCGAGCAGTGCCTTCGCGAACGCGTCAGATTTCTCGTGATCGCGATGAACACCTGATGCCCAGTCATTTAAACTTCTAAAAGACAGGATTTTACCCATTTTCACCATCTTTCCATTAGAGCTCAGCCTAGAGGCGATTTGGAGGAGAAAATTCATCATCCTTTCATAGGTTAGCATACTGTAACTCATTTTCTTCCATTTCTAACATCACCCGTTAATTTTTAGCCTTATCTTTTTCTTTCATGGTAGAAAACTAGAAATTTGGGAAGAATTGGGGGGGGGGGGGGGTTTGCAAATTCGGGATTTACACCTCAAATTGGGGTCGGATTTTGAAACTAATTTCATAATCAGGCTCGGGGGTGAATGGATTAACGGGTTATGGTCCGAATCTCGGGTTTTGGTGAAGCGGGCCAGGGATTGACTTTTTTTTACTTTTTGGGAAAAATATAAGAAAACCTAACTTTATGTATTGTTATTGATTCCCCTAGCACTAATTGATGTTATCGAGTCGTTTTTGGTTAGATATGATTAGTTTGGAGGCGGATTCTAGAGGAAAGGTCCCGGTAGAGCTCTGAGTTTATTGCGGAGTAAGGTAAGTGTTGGGTTTAACCTTAATTTAAGGGAATTAGGAACCCTTGAGCTATGTTCTATGTGAAACTCATGTGTTGCGGCGGATATGCGAGGCGACGAGTATATATACGCCGCGAAAGTACTTGTTACCTGTTTTTCAGCATTTCATTAATTGTTTCATCTCATGCCTTAACTGTTACGTGCTTCAAATGCTTTGCTACTTGTCACTTATTATTCTCGTGTTAAAAATGTTAGATTCTCCCATGCTTCCATGATTTACTGCTACTTGCCTTAAATGACTTACTTGTACCCTTAGTTGTCTTTTATTTGAAATGTCTTGTTGTTTAGCATTCATGTTAGTGAATTCTTACTTTGTGACGAGATTTCCTTTCTGGTTCTGCTTCATATCCATTAATTGTAGAGAACTCTTGTGATTTAAGTTGTTTTAGTTGCACTTATTGATTTATTCATACTGTACAGTGGGATTGGGTTGTCAGCGCAACATGTGAAATAAGGATGGATTGTTATGGCGAGATAATGATGAATTTATATTGATATAGTGGGATCAGGTTGCGCGCCGTAACATATGAAATAAGGGTGGATCAATATGGTAAAATAAGGGTGAGTTATGACATTGATTCTGATTATATGGTGGTATCGGGTTGCGCGCCGCATTATTTATTTATTTATTATTGTTGATTATTATTATGGTGGAATAAGGGAGAATTGTATTGTACGGAGGGATCGGGTTACCCGCCGCAATAGTCTATGTGTTTCTATTCCTTATTGTGTTGTGTTGGCTTCGGTACTTTTATACGAGACTCGAGGGATTTGTATTTCTGACACTTACTCGTTTTCCTTCGGAGATTAAGTTACTTTCATGTGTTAACTGCTTTAATTCGTTTTCGCATTTTCTTTCCTGTCATTATTTATTACTGCGCACAGGTTATTATAAGTGATTGCCTTAGCATCGTCACTACTTCGTCGAGGTTAGGCTTGGCACTTACAGAGTACATGGGGTCGGTTGTACTCATACCACACTCTGTAATTCTTGTGCAGATTTTGGTACTGGTCCCAGTTGTACGTGAGGTGCATCAGCTCGGATTATCACATTTGGAGACTTGAGGTAGATCTGCTGACATCCGCAGACCTTGGAGTCCCCTTCATTTTTCCTCTTTTACTATTCATTTCATTCGAAATAGTTGTATTTATTTCACACTCTATTTGTAGAACTTCTAGTAGCTCGTGCACTTATGACTCCATATCCAGGGTTGTACTTAGATATTTTGGTTGTTATACTTTTTTGAACATTTTTCCAGTTTTATTTCAGTTTTATTGGCTTTAATTACTTGAATTGTTTAAAAATGGCATAAGAATTACTTTTATGCTGGCATGCCTAGCAAATGAAATTTTAGGCGCCATCACGGTCCCGAAGGTAGAAATTTCGGATCGTGACAAGTTGGTATCAGAGCACTAGGTTACTTAGGTCTCACGAGTCGCGAGCAGGCTTAGTGGAGTCTGGAGGATCGGTTCGGAGACGTTTGCACTTATCTTCCAGAGGCTATGGAGTTTAGGAACAATTTTACTTCTATTCTTCTCTATCGTGCGATTTTATTCCATCATTGATGATTGAACTCTTCTATTCTTATTCTCTAGCAGATGGCGTGAACACGTACTGTATCTACAGCCGGACAGCAGCGGGAGCCCCCAGTGGCAGCTCATACTAGGGGCTGAGGTCGAGGCCGAGGCAGAACTCAGCCTAGAACTCGAGTAGCAGCACCAGTAGTGGAGCCTCAGGTGGATTTGGATGAGGAGGTTCCAGCTGAGACTGCACTTGTTGGACTA